AGAATTAACACTCAAATACAATTTTTTGTCTAACATTAGAAAGAATTTTCGAATGCAGACTTTAAGGGGTACGTGTAGTAACTGCATTGAGCCAACCACTGAAATTGGTATAAACAGTAGTAACTTTTCAAATTTTGCATGATGCAGAAAGAATGAACTTGAAGAGCGCATTTACAGGTCATGAGTCAAACAGAAAAGAATTCGAAGACATAGATGCCTGACTTGGGAAAAAGGTAGACAGGTCGAGCATAACCATTGAAATATGACAAAAAGCAACTACTTCCGTATTTTAGCATTGGTCTCACATAATAGGGGCATTTTGTCAAAAAATTTTAAAAAAACGAATCAAGGTTAACGGTGATACTCAGTTCAGTAATACATTTCTACATAGTTTATTCAACTAAAAGGCTAAAGTATTTTTATTATACCGCCAATAGCAGTTCCGAAGGGTTGAAATTTGGCACAAATATCAGGGTGGAAAAAATGAAGCACCATTCACGAAATCAACATTGCTTCAAAGGAGGAGATTTGCATTTTCTGACAAAATGACCCACAGAGAAATGGATGCGAAACTAACCAAAAAAGCGATAAAACACTGCATAGGAGAACAGGTAAAAACCGATTAAATACAAACATTTTATTGTTTTCAGCAAAAAAAGTTACGAACGAGAATTTCTCATGAAACAGTATTAATTGACATAACTATATGCCTGAACACTATGAACGATGCATGTTGGTGCCTCACGAGACTAAATTATCAAAGATAAACTAAACTATTCTGCACGAAATTTGGTAAAAAAACAGATCAGAGACAAGGGAGAAAAGTACAACAAAAAAAGCTCATTATTACTAAATTAGTTAACTTTTAGGCGTAAACTACTGAACATGAATGAGGCATTACCAAATCACTGAGCAAAGTGATTTACCAGAAATTTCATGAAAAAATGTACCAAGTTACCTTTTATACATTTAACATGGAACAAGGCTTACAAAATATACATTGGTCAACATAGCTTGGCTACTCATCTTTTTCAGAAATGCAAAATGGTTCATTTCGAAATGCACAAATCTGCATGGTTAAGCGCGAAAGTACGATATAACACCAACGTAAAAGGCATATCGACGTAAAAATAAGCAAGAGGGAGAGAAACAATAACAGAGTTATAGGGATTATTTCGCAGGAAAAAAACTTGGTATACTTCGATGACGATCTCAAGATCCTATCTTTACGTGACCGCAACATCCGCTTTCAAAACACATTTACAATAAAAGTAATAAACTGCGTGAAGGATAAAACAACAGACTAGATAACAAAAAAGAACGTAAACGCTAAAACAGTATACACACGTCTAGTGTCAAAAAATTGCCATCACTTACTAATTTTAGATGAACGGTTCCGGTGTAGCCATTTCCACTTTTTTTAAAAAGGCAATAAAACGACGACTGGGTTCAAAGGAACGCTATTTACGAATGCGATACAAAACAAATATTCAGGGGATGGCTATCCGACACCATTTTACTAAAAAACAAAATTTTATAATCTTTTAAGTACAATTTGTTATATATGATATTCTAAAACAATAATCCATGACAACGACGGAGAAATATCATTGCATCGGCGTATACACCTAACAAAATTCTACAAAGACTTAGGTCGGCATACGCATGCACAAACACGAAAACACGACTCATGATAGCACAGACCCTGAACGATGTTGTAAAGGTGAGAACACGAGAAAAATGCCAGGTATGGCATACCCATGAAAATTGCACGCCAGGCCTGGACTGTCA